GTAATGAAAAAGATAGATAAATAAAAAGTAAAAATTTTGTTAGATTGCCTTTTATACTTTTCTTATTATATGTAAATTTGTAACCTAACTTATTCCATATTGGACACAACTTTTTTACCAATATATTTCTTAATATAATGCTCTTATTATTTTCTATAATTAACAGTGATGATAATTTTTGTCACTAATTTTATTATTATATTTGTGACAACAATACGCTAACACTAATTTCTATGTTGTACTATTAATGATGACTTCATAAGTTGTCACTATTAAAAATTTTATTAGTGACGACTTTTTTTTTCCCGTCGACGATATGCGCCAAAAAAAACATTTAGTGATGAAGAATAGTGTCAATAAAAAAAGTTGTCACTAATAACTTGTAGTTCAACAATTTTGTAACGTGAGAAAATATTGTCACTATATATGAGGTTATAGTTATGACATTAATGTCGTCACTAAAATTAACGTCACTAATAATGATTATTCTTGTAGTGTGTTGTACGTAGCTCTGATGATTATGTAGTATGTCTTAGGTAATTCAGTTGTTATTATAGGTTTGCTGCATGGTTCATTTGTGAGTAGTTCGGTTTCAGACATTGTCTCTCTGCCGAGCTACAGTCATTATTAGAAGGTATTGTTTAGGGCACCTGCGTGTGTTCTTCTATTTGACTTCGGTCGGATTTGGCTAGTTAGCCGTCGAACTCTGTAAATTTCGTTAGTAATAATTAATCTATCGTTTNAAAAAAAAAAAAAAAATACATATTTATACTATCAAATATTATACCATGTTTTTATAGTACGACATTTCCTAATGAAATTATGCATGTTTATAAAAGGAGTACATGGCCTAACACAAGATCTACCGTTTTAATATAAATTTATTCTTATGTTAATTATGAAATGATATATTTTTGTTTATGTTTCTTTGTGGAGTAGGAATTTATGTTTGATTTTTTTGAAAAATAATATATATGACGTATGATCTAACTATTAGGTTTGTATAGCAGCGGTCTTACTGTAATGATGATTATCAAACAAATGCTTGAGCGAATCAGCCTGATGGTCAATCGAGCTGATTCATCATATACGATTTTAATAAAAATACATACTTATATTATGTCGATATTTTTGTTTGAAATTATGCATATTTTCAGGGCCGGCCCTGACTAATGTCAAAGTGGGCATTGGCCATGGGGCCCCAAATTTATATCTACATTATATATATGTGTATGGATTTTTGTTAGTGAATTTTTCTACCAATTAAAAAACCCACAAAAAAATTAGCTTTTATTGGCCCAAACCCAAATACATATAAGAAAATAATCATAAGCAATAAAACAAAAAATCAAAGTCACTTTTTCTTTTGGAATTGGAAGCAACGGGAAAGGAAAGTGGAGAGAATATCAAAATAATTTTTCCATCAATATTCCTCATCCAACATTTCCACACAACTTCCCACGCTCAGATAAAGATGATAGGGAAAGAAAAAAAAACGTATAAGGGTGGTAGGCTAAGATGACGACAAGGATACTTGGGAAGGAAGAGTAATATAATTTCCGTCTCGTAAACACCATTGTGCACTATACTCCTCCCCATCTTTATAGTATCGTGCTTTGCTTTTCTTTTTTACTTACGTCTATTTCCAAGTTGTACTTTCTAACGGGCGGAAAATTTTTTGAGTGTAGCGGATAAACAATTTGGAGCAACTATTTCGACGATTAAGCTTTTCTTTTCAGTCTTCAATTGATTCTTCTTTTTATTCGCGAAAGTGAAACACCCAACCGAGAGACCTACTACAATTATTAGGGTTTTTTGGGTTTGAAGACCATTATCCAATGCATAAATCAGGTTATATTTCTCGATTATATTTTATAATTTTGGTGTTTTATTTTCATTGTTTGATTTCCAGGCTCTTTTTTTATGTGTTTGTCTATTATTATTTTTCACTGTAATTAAATGTATGTGTTGAAGAAAGGGCCCCTTACCCAATTTTCTCCATGGGCCCCAAAAATGTCACGGCCGGCCCTGCATATTTTACAAAGTTTTATTTATTTTATTTGTTAAAGTATGCACGTGTATGTTTTAATGTATGTATATTTATTGAAAAAGTATAACCTACAAAAGAATAGTAGGTTTAAACGTGATAAAATTGGTGGTTGGGTACACTGGTTGAGCAAAATTATTTGTAATTTTATCAGTGAGATATCATATATTAGTGAAATAATTAGAAGAATTTATTTTTAATTGTTAATTTTGCTTGGCGCGCGTGCTTTATTCGGTCGGTGAACTGACGAGACTTTAATATTGTTGTTATAATACTGAGGCTCAGCTGTAGAAGAAAATCTTGGAGGTTCTGATTTAACAAATTTATATTACATATATTCCAAAGTCAAATTATAAGTACTCCCTCACTATTGTCTTGTGCATACGATATTACTAGAAAAATGTAGTAGATGTGTTAAATAGTTTTGGATATTTATATTAATCATATTAAGAAGGTTTTAAATAGCGGAAAAGTTATATCATAGATTGTCACAATTCAACACATTAGTATTTAGGACAACTAAATATTCTCTTTCCCGCTCACAGTAGACACAAATTAATAGATAAATAATTTCATATTTTAAAACCACGTCCCAATTTCTATTTTATTCGTTGGATAATTACACGTGTACAACAGTGATGTTATCATAAACACAAATTGTTCATCTAATAGAATAAAACATTAATTGAAACATTATTTTGAAATAGAAAATCACTCCCCGAATTAATATGCTCACTAATTTGTTACTGTATGATCCACAATGGGTATGATATTCAGGTAAAGATTTTATGTTTTAAAGTCATGTTTAAACTTTTGTTTCTGTGAACTGGATGACGTGTATAATTGTGACGTCATCGTATACATATATTATTCATTCAATAGAATGAAACATGAACTTAACGTGATTTTGGAATAGAAAATTTTAAAATTCAAAATTAATCACGGGATCTTAACATGTACCCGTTACGTGCATTTTTATGTGTTGACGATGGAAAAGTGAGATATTTTCGAAGTACGTAAAATAAGTTATGTAACAATGAAGACATATGAAAATATTAAAACTATTTTGGAAATGACATTTTTTTTTCTTTCATTGCTTCTTCTTGTATTCCATACTTGCCAAACCCTAAATTTTTATTATTTAGATCGATGCATTTATTCTTGCATATGATCTGACTCCAATATGATTCAGCAAATTAATAGAAAAAAACAAAAAATTATAACACAACAAGTTCACCATCATATTGAGAATTTTATTTATGACGGTAATTTTTTGGGAAAAAAAAAACAATTTTACATAGCTAAAAAAGATAACTGAAAGTTGTCATTGCTAGAGAAATATTATATATAAAGTTTGTATAATTTCTTTATTTTTAAATTTGATGCAATTTCTAGTGGTAAAATTTGATACTAGTGTCGATTTGTTAGCTTTAATGATGGGACAACAGATCTTCCGTGTGGAATTACAAAAATGTGGATTTCAAAAAAAGGTGGGTACTTTGAACTCATAAATTTTTGTATCTGGAAAGTAAAAATAATAAATATTAATTAAAATAAATATAAAACTAATAAAATAATTAATTGATGAAATTAGTTATTAGAAATACGTAAGTACCTGAATAGTGTTTCTATTGAATACTTTTTTATTTTTTAATGCTTCGGTTAGATTTGTAGAGAAAAAATCAAGAATTATATTTTATATTTCAATTTTTTGTTATATTTTCAATCTTAATGACTTAAATCTCATTTTAACAAACAAAAAACAAAGAAATTATGTATCCATTCGCTATAAGTTATATTATGCATCGGTCATTAGTTATTTTATTTTAAATTAACATTTAAACTTTATTTTTTATTTTTTATTTTTTTATTTATTTATCACTACACATTTACCATATGTCAAGTTTTTCCTCATAAAGCTCCTACACAAATACCAAACATTAGAGTAACTCCAGCCCCGCTCTATCTCTCAAGATATGGGGCAAAAAATCCCTCCAACGCTGCGCTAAATTCTTGCGCTACTTCAGAGAATTGAACAGTGTTGCGCCCAATATGGCGCAACACTGTAGCTGCAACGCCACAATTATATATATATATATATATTTTTTTTTTTTTTTTATTTTTTTGTGTATTATTATTGGTAAATTTTTGTATAATGTATATTAGTAAATGTATTTTTTATGCTAAATAATTTGTGTAATGTAATTTTTATGCTAAATAATTTTGTGCTTTATATTTATTGATGTATTATAATTTTATTTTGTAATTTTTTAATAGTAAAATGATACCATATGAATAAAATTGATGTATATTAATTTTATTTTGTAATTTTTTAATATTAAAATACCACCAAAAATGAATATAAGATGAAATATACATATATTAGAATTTATTTGAAATAAAATTGAATAAAAAAGATAATAAATTTGAATCAACTGTAGGATTCTTATCTAAAGATCAATGGCTAAGATCATATATATACATAATAAAATTTGCACAAGATATGGTCTAAACCATATATGGTCTAGTGTGTAAATGTGCACTAATTCATATATGGTCTAAACCATATATGGTCTAGTGTGTAAATTTGCAGTAATTCATATATTTTCAAAAGTAACAGTTTTGAATCGGTACATAGATGTATATGTATCTTCTTTAAGAAATTCAATTTAATACAATTTTTATTTAAATGTCAAGATATGGTCTAAACCATATATGGTCTAGTGTGTAAATTTGCACTAATTCATATATGGTCTAAACCATATATGGTCTAGTGTGTAAACCATAATTTTTTTTATTTACTATTTGGGTAATAAACATTTATATAATATTACATATTCATATATATAGCAAATTATTCGAAATAAAAATACATAAAATATATTTTTATTATTTGAGTAATTAACATTTTATATAAGATTAAATAAACATATATACTAATTTATTTGAAATAAAAAATGAATAAAAAAATCATATATTTAATGTAGAGTAAAATGTAGAGATAAGGGCTGGAGATGAATGTTCAACTCTACTCTAGAGTAGAGTAAAGTTCGCGCTAGAGTAGAGATAAGGGCTGGAGATGGCCTTAGCTCTCTCTCGATTTTCCTAATATTTGCAGTTGCACGCTTAATTCATCAACTAACTAAAAGTCCCCGCAACCTGAGCAAGAAGTCATTCTAAAGCTTACAACAATCCCAAAAATACTTAGTTACAAGATTTTTTTAACAAAAAAATATCCAACTCACTATTAGATCAAGCAAGCATATGCCCATCTCAAAACTTCAGTCCTTTCTGATTACTCATACTTCTTTTATTCAGCTCAAGCTGCGGCCAAGATTTTTTTTTTTTTNAACAATTGCTCGTTTTTTTTTTCTTTTTTCTTTTCATGCTTGAAAACACATGTCATGGGGTGCTCGATTTTTGGGACTCCCATAAACACCTGCATTCAGGCAAAGGGTTAAGGTATATAGAACCCTTTCTTGTTGATTTTTTTACTCTTGGCACCATTATGCTCTTTCGATCACTTTCGGCAAGCATTGTCTCCATCTCATCTTTGAAAGCATCCCAACTGTAAAAATTGCCGTGTAATTGTTAACCGCACAAATTCTAAAAAAAAATGACGATAAAGTTTGTATTTATTTATTTATTGTTTGTTCCTTTTCCTTCGATTTGATATTTGTACTCAAGGATTATTATTTTCTTACTTTTTTTTTTTCTTTCTGTGAAAGAGATTTTTACCTTAAGCTCATGTTCTGGAGTAAAACTACGAGCCTGCTTTTATCGGGCATGATAGTCTTTGCGTGCCCGTTGAATAAAAACCTTCTGTGACCCATAAGAAAATGAGGAAAATTTCCTCCTTGAGTAGTCACGAATACTTCACTAGACAAGCATGCCATATAGTCCAAAGCTGCTAGCCTCGAAGAATAGCCCTGAAAATCATAAAGGCTTGTTTATTGTTGAAATTCAGCCGAGGAAAAAAAATAAAAATTAAAACATAATATACCAAAATTAATTTTGCGAGTTTTTACCTGGATTTCAGAAAGTTCGTCAGCGGTAAAAAGTGACTCCTTTGTGTATAGAAGTGGGAACATCTTTCTAAGGGGCTCGAGGTATTTTTCCTCCTTATAAATTTTGCCGGAGGCTAAATAGATAGGGGTATCGTTCGAAAATCCCATACCTCTTAACATCATACCAACCTATGCTGACAAATACATATGCCCAAAAGCAAAAACCCTTACTGCCCACAAATTAGAATATTATCACGAGGAAATCGAGATTAAATGTGCCAAATTTAAAAAATTAGGAACCAAATCTGAGATATTAAAAATGAATTTGACACTTTTTTTTTTTAAAAAAAATTATTAATACGAAACTAACCTCCACTGGTGTCATGGGGCACCTTCCATTAACACGATTGAGTTCAGGTGCAAAGACTCGATTTTTTTGCATGAATTTTTTTGCCCATCCCTTTTCGCGCATTGAGTTCAGTTCAGATTTTTCTACTTCTCCACCGTCATACACACAGCACGAGAAGGCCACCATATCCTACATGGCGTGCGTTTTTTTTTAAGGCAAAACCACTTTTATTAAGTAGTTAAAAATAATAGACATAAAAGGGGTATAAAGAAACTACCTCCTCGAATCTGAGATGAATAGAAACATACTTCCCGCCAGAATTAACGCTCTTTGCAGTCATTTGAGTGACTACTTTCTTAGCAAGATTCATAATGGTTGGGGAGAATTTAAGAGCCTTATAATTTGCTAGGCATCTTAAGAACTGTATTTGTGGTGGTATGCTCGTTGCAAGTCTGTTTGCAAAGGGGGAAATGCGAACAACTCTGCACCAATTGGAGTTCATAATCGGGGGTTAATATGTAATTACTAATTAGATTGACTGGTAAAAAAGTATAGGGAGGAAAAAAATTAAAAAAAGGAGAAGAAAAAAGGAAAATCAAGAAGCATGTGTTGTTGGAAACTTTGAACTCAATTTGTTTCAAGAGTTGTATTTATTTTTAGCTAGGATTGCATGCTACACAATTTCCTCTGTTATGGTCATAAGATCAAGATATCTTATTTTAGTAATGATTAATAAAAAAATCACGACTTATGTTTTTACTTTTTAGCCTAACTTGAAGAAAAACTAGCTACCTCTCAGAAATTACTATGTTAAAGGCAGTTTTTGCTATTATGAATAATTCACAAAAGCAAAAGGGAAATAGTATTTTGCGGGCAGTGCGATTTTTTTCACATATTTTTGCACAATAATTGTAGNCAAAAAAAAAAAAAAAAAGAAAAAGATTTAACGACTATATACCCTGATTCTTGCAAGACAGGATAAACCTCATCCAAGTAAAACCGAGCTGATGCCCAAGCTTGCACTCTAAAATTTGGAATATTGCTTATGCTATAATTATAGCTGTCCATTATTTCTTTCGGCAAATCTTGAACCACGGTCACGAAATCTTTTAACGAGGATATAAAATGATCCTCATCATAAATATCAGCAAACCCACTGAGAATTACCACAGGAGAGAGAGAAAAAAAAAAGTGAAACAATGAACATGGAAATTTAACCACATAATGTCATTTGCATTTCGTTGACTTTTGATGAAAAAAGAATGGCTTAATACAAATAACAAATGGAACTTGCCTTGGGTCCTTCCAAACATTATGAAGATCAAATCGAGGGATGACGAGAGTAGCATTAAGCAGTCCAGCCACAGCCACAGCATTGCAAATCTTCATATTGAAAATAGAACCGGAGTCAACTAATATACACAGGATAAAAGTTAAATATCTACAGTGAAACATAAATTACAGATATGGGGAAAAATACAGTTTTAAATAAATAAGAATTCCCCTACATACAAATGGAATCCATCCAATCTGCATTTGAAATTTATGTTCTTTTTCGCGTTCGATCGAAAAAATAACAAGAAGAAAAATGAAAGACTAATAAGATTTAGCAGCATTTAATGCGAACAAATTTTAGAAGCAGTAGCTTGAAATCATATTTCTCACAAAAATGGCTTCATTGTTGAAATTCTAAACACACTGAATACAAGGAGTAGCAAACTCATAAAAGATGAAATTTGACCAGGTTTTGTATGGTTCCCACAGTGATTATTATCATGGAAATTGAATTATTCTTGCTATTTGGATTTAAAAGATTTTCCTAGATAATTAAATCAGACTTGGACCAAAACAAAAAACAAAAAACAAACTGTGACAAGAAAGTGCCTGAATTTCATACCGATGACCGTTGTTGGTTTAAGCCACCATTAGCCTCCACAACCAGGTAGCGTTGAGTCCCTAATGAGACTGTTAAAAGAAAGTTAAATATGGCTCAATTATAGAATAATACAATTGAAGAAATTTGGTAGTTTCAATGAAAAGCTTTTATTTTCTAAGAGGCATCAAATCTTAGCATATGTAAGAGACGATACAGAACATAAGAGATGGAAAATGAGATACCCGTACTGTGAAGCTGATGATCATAACCGTTCGAACATGTTCGTTGCTCTTTCTTTCTTCGGTATCTCCATATATTATCCAACTGAAAAAACAAAACATATGTTCTTTTATAGGATAAAGAAAAATGTTTAACAACAAGCTAAGAAAAAGAAGCCAACTTTTTTCAGCAAATTATATTTTAACTTCTATAGAAAAGTTGCATGAGGAACTTAAAATATCAAACTAGTTAAGGAACCAGAAAAAGTCAACCATTTGTCGTGTTCATAAGCCAATTATTGACACTCCAAATAAACAAAAATGAGCAAGTTAATATTTTAATTTTCTTTCTCCCAAGTTCACTATATTTCTGGTTTCCACCATGTGCTTAAAGAGCTAGAAAGCTCCACTTACTACTTCCCCACACAAAAAGAAGACAAGTTTACAGAGAAAACAACAATTTGACTAAAATTTTAAAAATCCACCAGTTAATAAGCTACAAGAAATTACTACTATTAGTGTTTTCGGAAGCTTCGATCCAAGAAGTAACTGCAGTGGAAAACAAAAAAAAAGTGATATGCCTCTCAATTAATCAGCCTCAGATTATTTGTTCTTTATTTCACTTTCCCAAAATTATAAAACAAATTTTACTTATAACAAAAACAAAAAGGAGGAAATCACATGCTCTGCAAATTTGTGTTCATCTGATTTTCCTCAACTCCCAAAAACAAAATTTTTCAACCAATCCCCAAAAAAATCATGAAAAAGCAACTTCCATCACCCATGGACCCATACACTGCACAAATCCTTTCAGAATAATGAAATTAGTAAGTAAATAGTGCTAAAACAGACAGAAAAGGGACAAAACAAGTTTCAATTTTGACCTAAAATCTCCCATTTACCATCACCAGAAATGCATAAAAGAAAAAGTAAGAAAACCTCAACAACAGAAGCATTATCCGACTCAATTTCTGGCCACAGCTTCAGAAACAGCTCTTGGCTCCGGTACAGAGACCCCGGCGGCGGCGGCGGCGGCGGGTGGAGGATGACGAGCAGGCGGCCGGCGCAGGTGATGAGCCCCACAATGTAGACGATCGAGAGGAAGAGGAGGTACCTCTTGTGGAATATTCCGGTGAAGAGGGAGAGGAAGCCCTTGTGGCGGTGCTTGAGGTGGAGGTGGAGCCTCCGGCGGCATCTAGCGGCGGTGGGCTCCGCCGCCGTGTACGTTAGGGCCATGCAAAGATGTGGGCTGGTGAAGAGAGTTTTTTGTATTGTAACGTCCAAGTCAAACCCTTTTTTCCGCTTGTGGGGGGCGTGCAAAGATTGGAATTTTATTTGCTTGTCAGCTGTTGTATGAGGGCGGCCGATAGAGTTTCATACCCTTTATTTATTATTATTATTATTACTTTATTAGTCTATTTCTTTATTTTATTTTTTATTTAGGTTTGGGATGAAAAAGATCTTTTACTCAAATGTGGTGTTTCTAAACTTTTTCATGATGATAAGTTTTGTCGTGAGATGGTGTAACCGTTAAGCACCTGATATACTTTATTAACAAAATATACGTTTATGTTATGAAATGTCAAACTTTATTTATATTGATTTTTTAAAATGTGTTAGTTGAATTTAAAAGCATGTGTATCTATTGAAAAAGTATGACGGATTAACAATTAAGTTTAAAATGGTATGAAAAATAACACTTTCATATAAATGCTTTTGTGATTTGATGTAATATTCTTTTTATTGATATAAAAGAAGAACACTTCATATAATTCATATAAATCAAATAGATAGAGATATTGGTGTTGTACAAGAGTATATTAAGTGCTAAATAATTATGGTAAAACTAATAGGATGTGAATTCAAATTTGACCTAAAAAATATATTATACTTCATTTTCGACTCCATGTTTTTAAAATATTTCATTTTCACTCCATTTACAGTTCTAATCGTGTCATAATCACACCACATGATCATACTATGACCGTACCACATAACTATTTCACAATTCAAAAATTAGAATAAAATATCTCCAGTAAACCAATGTATACCATTGTTAATATATAATGTTGCCAAAAAATCATTTAAACTATATCATAAAATCTATATTAGAATTCACAACTATCTACGCTAGATATAATTGTAAGAATACTTTTGTGAATCATTTTTTTGACTAAATACTCTGTAAAAAGTTGCGAACGATTTGTAAGGAGATTGTAATGAGTCAAATGTTACCATACAGCGTGGTAGATTTATAATTTCGGATCGGAAGGCATTTATTTGACTTTGATCGCGTGATATTTGTAGAATTTTTTTTTTTTAAATTACTAATTTATGCTTCTTTGTTTTGGCTGTATCTAATGTGTCATTTCATTGCTGACACAAATGTAATATTATAAATATAATAGCACCAATTGAATTAGTTCCTTGTATATTAATTATTAATGAATTCCAGCAACAATTATAAACGAGACAAAAATGAACCAAACTTAGTTCGTTAACCAAATGAGGCTATAAACGAGTCGAGAACGATCTATAGCGACTCAAACTATAAAAAACTACATAAAAATTCTTATTTTAAAAATTTAACATCCAATAATTAATTAAACAAACTCACAAACAGCTCGTTTCGCATAACAGCTCTAAGTGACACAACGATAATTTTGGAAGAAAAAAAGGTTGGATATAGAAAATGTACAAATCTTACTCCCCATTTATTCACTAGAAACTTGTTTAAAAAAAATTGTATGGACAAGTTTTTCACAGCTCAAAATGGCCAAAACTGCATAAATTATCAATTTTCCAGACATAAAAAAGGCTGGTTGTGGAAAGTAAATATAAATAGAGAAAGCTACAATAAATAGTTCGTTTCAAGCACTGAACATAACTACAATGTAAAATAAAAATTGAATAGTACAGAGTTAATTATTACCTAAAGAAAAATTTCCTCTTTATTCTCTCCATAAAATGGATATTTTCTTTCTTAGGTAGTATTTGTTGTTTGTTCATTTACAATTGTATACTTTTTAAATAGAGAAAACACACATGTTTCAACCAAATTAAAGGATATTATTATAGTTATTTTTTTGGTTAATACATACCAGCANTTTATTATTATTATTATTATTATTATTATTATTATTATTATTATTATTATTATTATTATTATTTTTTTCATGGTTAATGGTTTTGATGGGCTTTTGATGCCATTCTCACTCAGAGCATCTCACTTTATTCCGAAATCAACGGCACGGAATAATGGATTTCCATTTTCATCCACAAAAGAATAAATAAATAAATAAATAAAGTCACACAAAAAAGGACCTTCATTGTTGAAAAATTAACAATACTTATTTAATTTTGTTAAATTCATATATATATATATATTTTTTTTTTCTGTACTATTTATTTTGTTCCCACATAAACTGCAATCAAAGCACTGAGTCCCACCTCAGCTACTTTACTAAACCTTGTTTGATTTTGGAGATTGTGGGCAACTAGGCTTTAGTGGATTAATACCTATTTTTATGTTTGTTGTACTATTGAGTATGGACTAATAATATAACCTATCATCATCAATCACTTTGGAAAATATTGTGCTCAATAACACATGTACAGTATAAAAAAGTTGAAACAAGTATGGGAATAAATTTAATTATATGGTCACATGTTACGTATGGATAAGTGTTATTGTGAAAATCAACTATTTTAGCAGAATGAAAATCAATTTTTTTTTTCTATTATATATGAAATAACACTCTTACTTTTCCACAATGAATGTTATACCAAAATAATATATTTAACTCTCTCTAAAGAGTAGCATTTTAGATGAATATTTTTTTATTGTATGTTATTAATGGATCATAATTATCCAATCTAACTAGCATTTGATTAATTAATAAGCTGCCCATTTTTGGAACATTTATTATCAATTGAAAGAATGAATCAAAATAATATTTAAAATAAAATGATTAAAATTGATTTGATATAAAAGTAGGAGATAAATGATTAGAAATGATAGGTAGTTAAAATTATGTGAGTAGATGAATAGTGAATTAAAGTTGATGTGATATGTAAGAATGATTGGTTTGTATTATTTAATTATATAAATAATAATAAAGATAGTAAGGTTGAGTTAAAGTTAAGTTAAATTTGAAGTATGAAATAAAGTTGAGTAAATTATTTCATAAACAATCAAGCTCTAGGCTGCAGGATTATTTCAGGACATGGCCCTTTTGTGTTCCTTTGATTGACATCTTTTATTTTTATTTTTATTTTATTTATTTAGAAGAAGCTGAGAGTTATTTATAAATTAAACTTTAATTATGTTCCTTTGTCTGACAATGTGCTAATATTTTGATTTATTTATTTATTTTTGTATAAGAAGTTTAGAGTTAATTATAAAGTAAACCTTAATTACATCCCAGGTCCAATTGATTTGACTTTTTCTTTCTTTTATTTCTGATTCCATCACATAATCATAAGAAAGCTACTATCTTCGCTGTAATCCACCAGTTGGCACTTTTAATTTATATTTGCTATTTGTCAACCTTTTGACCATCACATCCATATGAAAGTTCTCCTCAAGATTCAAGAACAACTTAACAAGGATATCAATATCATTTTTTCTACAAGGAAAAAGAGAAGAAATTTTTTTTGAGAGGCAAGTGATTCAATTAGAGTTCTTAAACAAAACAAATATGTCATGAGTCAAGCCATTAGAATTGTTAAACGAAATCGACCACTTGTGAGCTACGACTCAACTCGAAAAGTCTCGAAATGAGGAGTTTTTACTTTTCTATAACTCGACTAATTAAGACCCAAGTTCAACTAGCTAATATTAATAATTGAGTGATGCTCAATTAATGGCTAATTTAGTTAACTTCATGCCAAAAGAATATTTATTACTGTAGATGCAATAATTCTAAGTCCTTTTCTCCTTCCACCGTTTGGAGCCACGAATCGTACTGAAAAACTGACAACGAAAAAAAATCTTGGGGCAAAAGAGCAATTTCCATAATTTTATGGTACCAACCGACATGCTGTAGTAATTGTGGCATCTACAGGTGGACCTTCATCACACAGTATCCATCTCTCAATGCCTTTCAATGGCAAATTAAATTCTCCTCCAACATGTCACGTGCCTCAACCCCTGCAGTCACATGACTCAGCATGTACAACAATATTCCACTTTTTTTTTTCAATGTTTTCAGGGGTAGATTTCAATCTGTATTTCCAGTTATGAGTTTTTCACCGTTGGATCAATAGATATATATTAATTCAATTATGAAAAATTCAATAACACTGCAGTTGTGTGTAGGGTGAAATATTATGTTTTTTAATATTATGCACGTGCTGTTAAATTAAACGAGCCTAGTTCGGCTAAACTTGTTTGATAAACGAGCCGAGCCGAGCTCGAGCTCATTTAACCTTGTTTGGTTAACGAGCCTAACTCGGCTGGGCTCGATAAGACTCGAAAAAAGAATTTTTATATAATTTTCTATAGTTTGACTCGTTAAAGCTCGAGATCAGCTCGTTAAGACTCGAACTCAACTTGTTATTAGTAATAAACGAGTCAAGTTTGAGCTTGATTTTAGGCTCGTTCATTTAACGAGCCAAACTTAGGTCGGCTCGTTAAGGGCTCGAGTTCGACTCGGTTCGTTTACAGGTCTAACTCCACCACAAAATTGTACATCTTTATGAAATGGTCCAACTCAAAATTCTCACAAGAAAACAAAAAAAGGGAGAAAAAAAGGCTTCCATGATGTATATTTGTAGATGTTTACATGTCACAAGTTAATTTCAGAAAAAAATTCAACAAGAGAATCAATTCAAAGGTGCAGATACTGGAAATAGTAAACAAAAGGGCAAAAAGGGCAGAGCAAATCATCCATCAATTATTCAGGTTTATATTATCAAAACATGTGTTTCACAACCCCAAACTTGAGTCAAACAGCTTTCATCTCTATTAAATTTTGAGTTAAATTCACTACAACCACTTGCAACCATGTTTGGTNATTCATGAGACTAAATATCAAAGTTGAGAATTATGCAGAAATTTGACTTCTGAAAGAAAGCCAAATTGAAAATGATGCGTATCAAAAGTAGACGCTTTAATCTCAAATCAAGTTAGGCGCAACTCTTAATAGGAACCTAAAAATACTCATAGATCAAAAATGTTAATAGCAACATAGACTAGCTTACAACTTATATAATTATCATATATAAAGCTTCTTCTTGTATGCAAATAAGTTTGGTTTGGTTGGATGAACGTTTTCATCTAAAATGTTTCTTTACATAGCTTTTTCAGAAAAGACTTCAAAGTTTTGCTTCAACTGACTAATCAATTAATTTTATCAAAAACACTTTTATTAATTATTATATTAACTAACTTTTCAGAGTCATCGGTCGTAAGTTATCATCAACTTGAAATTATCTGCAATCAGTTAACTTATTAGTTATCAGCTAGCTTTCCAGTTAGATATCCAAATATACCCTAATTATATGGAGTATGTAGATAACCAACATAATATCAAATTCAAATGAAGCTAGAAATTTGAAGAGGATCATAAAACAGGCTGTACCATAAAAGTTGCCTCTGAGGTTTAGCTAAATTAACAGAATAAGAGTGCGACATTTAGTTAGCTTTCAAAATCACAAGACACCCCCAACCTTAAGTCATTGCAATACTCAATTAGCAGTTGGGCTTCTACAGTTCTACGCATAGAAATACATTTATGAATATCACAATAGTGAATCTTAAATTTTGAAATATAACTAAGGATTTTAACTATGTTACAGTATATCTCAAAGATAATTGTTGTAATCAACAATACACAGAGAAAACCCAAGAAGACAATCAAACGATGAGGCCAAGGAACAAACTACAATCTAAGTTTGATCTTGGCAAGGCAAAAAATTATATTGAACGAAAAATCATAACCATGACATATTAACATTCTCTAAGCAGCCATATATTGCAATTCTATTCTCAACTCAGATCAATTAAGCAATCTAACTGAAAATAAAGTGTGAAAAATAAAAAGAAAGATAAAAAGGAAAAGGAAAACTAACTATTAAACTATAATCTAAAAATACCTGCACTTTGTTGAGGATTAATTCCCACTCCATCTGCATATAACCAAATAAGCACAAAAATAAGATTAATAAAACACAGCCAAAATTTTCTTTAAGGGTCACATACTTCACAGATATCATATGCAGTTGAAGAAAAGCTTCAAACTTTACATTCTTATCAAGTCATTACGAACAAAGAAAACCAATTCAAAGACACCATATGCAATTGAAGAAAAGCTTCAAACTTTACAGTCTTATCAAATCATTACTAACAAACAAAACCAATTCAAAGATATCATATCCCAATAAGAAAAGCTTCACACTTTACATTCTTATTCAGTCATTATTGAAGAAGAAAGCCAATTCAAGGTTATCTGTCCGCTGAAGAAAAATTGAGAAGTTGAGGTGAAACAAAACCCAAACAATACATAAAAGATTCACACCATTAGTGATGATCGCGCTGGTTTGCGGTGGCACTTTGAATTCTTCGGCTGCAAATTTCAGAACCGCCGTGAATGGAGCCGCCTCCGGTACGCTGAATCTATTTCCCCAATTTTTAACAAAAGATAAAATAAAATTAGGTTCCACTCGGAAGATGAAAATTTGTTGAAAAATAGCAAAAGGGCCTTACACTTTGAAAGGAAGCTTGGGATCGGAGGTAAGAGTAACCTTGAAGGACACCTTACCGCCACCGCCACCACCGCCGGCGCCACCGCTAGCCATTTTTGTCTGATCAAAATCAAATGTTTCAAATCTTTTTTTTTTTCCTTATAATTTCTGTTAAATATGCAAAAGAGTGTAATTTTTTTTACGCGTGCTACATACGACTATGCTCGGGTGCATAGCGAATCCATTATCGCCACGTGTCATCATATTTTAATGACCAAACTTGCTTCCATTTACCATTTTTTTCCAGTGAAATTTCCCATTTTTTCTCCTCTTTACTGGACAATAATGAAAAATTATAGTTAACCTATCAACATATTTTTTACTACATTAATTAACATTATGTTGCGAATTAAGTTTTATCACCATCCTTTACAAAGTGGTTTGTTTTTACTTCATCTTTTGTATAAATCTTTTATATAACACAAGTTTTTGACTACATAGCATATGATATGGCTACACAAATCTACCCATCATCAAGTATTTTAATAAAAATGCATAAAAGAATAAAAGACGCAGTATTTTTGGTAACTATAGCTTTTCAGCAAGTATTGCTTTTTACAACTTTAAAAAACGTAGGTTTGTTAATTTCTGTGAACAATATGCAAAGGTGTCGTCATTCATCTAAAATAAAAAATTACTAATACTATATAAATTAAATTTTCCTCATGATAGTTAACCTCTCCCTCATCTGCTCATCAGTCTTCATTATAAAAACATTGGATTTTCTTTTGTAATTGACCTATCTCAATAAGTCAAATCACCCAACCAAACTCCCAACATTCGATCAAATATGATTCCAAAATTCAATAGTATTATCAACACGCTTTATAGTCTGATACCATCATACATACTCTAAGTCAAGTGTGCCAAATCACACTTTAACACTTTAACAAGTGAAAAAAAAAAAACTACAAGGAGGATCAACAAGACAAAGCCAACTCGAGTTTTCGAGCATCTGATATGCTTTGCTAAACTCCGGCCTCCTTTTGTGGCAGTGTTTCAAAGGCAGAGACTGTATTCTCAAACTTGATTCTATGCAGCGGTGCACCACTTTGTTTAATGGCGCAAGCTTGCTTGTCTTCCAATGGGCAACGAGCTTTTAACATGGAGAAAACGTGATTATTTAGCCTCCGAGCTTTCTTCATGGCTTCGAGTAGGCTCTCCAAGCCCTTTCACAACAACAAGAAACAAATCCACACTACGAATTGAGTCTGAAAGTATTGCATGACTATAATGTCATGAAAATGAATGTGTAAAGAAAAAATTCTCACGGATTATCCTTGTTCTTTCTTTACTTCTTTGCTTTTAACTGTATGAGAATCGAGAAAAGCACACAAACCCACAGTTTTCCCTTGTCGATTTCGTGTGAATAGGGTTAACTACGAGTTTTTGTCAACTAATGAGAGTTGTTATCATCAAGTTGCCAAAATTGCCATTTTGTTCGACAACTCAAATGAGTGATTCTTTTCTTTTCTTAGTACAAACTACTCAATAAGATGAAACTAAGTTATTTATTCTGTTTGATAGGAATTAATTTTCCAAAATATAAAAATCCCAAAGTGTGCAGCTGAATATGGCTAAAGAGAAGAAAATCTTCATACCACTGAAGTGTGAGAATTCTTATGGGCTGGTGATGATGTGCCTGCACCCTCAACCTCGGCAACATTGAGGACTTGGTATGAAAAATCGAATAATTCGAAATGCAATTGTTGGCCGAGTAAATACATAATTGTACAACCTCCCCAAGCAACTGAATCACCCAACATCCCGTAATGGCTTGGTTGTACATGAACGGCTTCCTCTAGGTACTCCTTCAATTAAAGAACACAAATTTTATGTGGTCACTAAAAAAAAAAAAGATAATAGGCAAATAGAAATCAAATGCATAGATAAAGTGCAACAAAGTAATGATTAATGGGCAATTACAAGAAACACTATAGGTTTAGCGAAATTTATATGTGCTCTCTAGATGATGGTTAGTCAATACTAATGTATGAACAAAGAGAACAGAAATAGGGAAAATATATAACTTATGTAGGAAAGCAATGAACAAGAAGTGTTAAATCTTACAATTTGGAGGCCACTATATATCCGATAGAAGTCCTTGGAAGTTGTAATGTCCAAAAACCCTGTTTTGGGGATCACGCTCCACTTACTGCAGTATTTGTCCAAAGCAGCACTTGTAAAAGCAAGCGAATATTCCAGCACACTTCCGGCGTTAATGTTGGATTTGTAAAGGAGATCTGGGAAGAAACCAATAATAAGTCACATAATAATATTGCGATTGAGGCACGAGAGTAATGTGTTGCTTTTTGACATCAGAGTTCAATTTCTAGTTGAATGTCTTTTTAGCAAAAATGAAATGTACAGATGAAAAGGAATTTCATACATAAGATGGCCTTCATGACTTCGATACCATATTTGATAGACAGTAGATTACAAAAAGGTACATGTGTTAATCATGAAACGCACCCAGGTTTAATTTAATGCTAAAGAAAAATAAAGGAAATGGAAAAGGTGGAAAAATAGTCATCTCCAAAATTAGAAATACTTGGGTTACCAAAATTATTTGCAAAATTAGGTCAAAAAAAATTGCCAAAATGTATACCAGCAGCTTCTGCTTGTCTGGACAGGACGCGAAGTGACGATGGATTCGGGAAGTTGGGGTTCGAAGCACTAGCAGAGGCTAATGATTTAAATAGGCTGATGATTGGGCTGTCTTCACTGTCCTGGTTTTTTATGATCTGTCCATCTGCACCAGGAGTTAGGCCCAGCCAAGGAGCAGTTTGCATGAATTGGCTAGTGTCAACTTCTCTCTGTTGAGTGAAATGAAATGGTATAAGAATCCAAAAGCAATCGATTATGCCCACTGTAAAACTTGCACTAATTTTCTCATGAATGGCAGGCATGATGAAAATCTTATGAAACAACTTATATGTCCTGGAAGTTTAGTTTAGCAGAAACTTTCGATGAAAAATGTATATATCCAAGAAATACCCTCTTGCATTACTGGTACTTAAAGATAAATGAGTTTCTCCTTTATTTTCTGTCTTTTCTTATTTTGCATGTACACGTCTGCATGAGTGTTTTGATGAGGCTAAACCCCCTAAGAGATTGTTGTTTCTGACATTTATCGAAACATTTCATAAAACAGCTAATGCAAGAAAACTCACCAAAACAATATCAAGCAGACTCATCCAGTACAAGACACTTCCGATTTCCTTTATCCCATGAAGAGCTTCGATTTTCAGTTCGGATTTTGACTGCCAGCAATTGAGATGTTCTTGAACTGTCCTTACACAACCTAGACATCACATACAAACACCTAAAAAGCAAGAATATATATGATAGGTACAAAACAAATGCATGGAAAAGAAAAAAATAAATAAAATAACAAAATGGGAAGAAATTACTGAACTGGTGAAGTGTGCAAAGAAGTTATTCTCCCCTGAAAGCTCTTTTTTTTTTTTTAAACAACCTAAGAAAATCAAGTTCAGCAGATTCTTTTTCTTTTGTCTTTCTTTCCCACTTTCTTTTAACCAATCCACAATACATCATTTACCTGCAACACCACCATCAAAAGCAAGTAATCCTATAGATTTGGGCAAGGCCTCTTGGAGACCGGTGATCATTGGCTCGATGGTTGTAACCTGAAACAATGATAAAAGATTCATGAAACCAGAAAATATAAACCAGAATCATGTTAATGTGAATGAAAGGAAAATGTGTTGTTTTCTATTTCTTTCTTTTCTAATTTAATCCAATAGCATTTTAGTAGGCGTATGGGACTTAATGGGAGCATAATGGAATCAAACATATAATGTCAGTGAAAGAGAACAAAATAACACAACCCCAATTTCTATCGGTCATACATAAATAAGAAATATGAACTATAAACCCTCTGATTATCTTTTTTGTTTGATGTTTTAGCATAATTATCTTGTTCCAAATTAATTGATATTTGAGAAAATAATTCTCACCTTCGAGTTTTATCCTCATGGACCTCACCTCAATCAAATTCTAGATTTTCATTTTACCATAATTTATCGGTTTCTAACTTTCTATATTCTTTGTTTCCGAATCATAAATGAGGCCAATTAAATTAGGGATTTGTGTGGAGAGTTGACTGTTTAAGAGCGTATTTATAAATTTGATATCATTCTTAATTTGGTATTTTATTTCCAGAACATCATATACAAAACAAATAAAAACTCTGCAGGCCAAAGCCATGAAAGTAGGCGGATTAAGAGTACCTTATTTGATACATGGTCTAAGAGGGCCCTGATAAGCCACGGTAATGATCTCGACCCCAAAAGTTTGACAATGGAGTACATATGAGGCAACCCAAAAAACCCACTGTGCAATCGGGCGTAGCTTTGGTATGCAGAATTCAGATCCTTCAACATAAGAATTTCTTAGGATGTGGACAAACAATTCAGGAGAGGGGTAATTTATTGATATTAAGAGCTGGCCAAAGCCTGGTGTGGCCCGGCCCTACCCCAGTACTCTGGCCAGAGTAAAAAATCAGGCCCGCCAGAAACTTAATCGGGCTATCATTTTTTTTTGGCCAGTTCTCTAACCTATGTCCTGCTTCTAGAGAAGTAATAATACAAAATTATAGGTAATTAGGAAAGACATTGCCGTCAAAATCGGTAATTCTTACTTGATTACCACAATAGAAGTTTGGCTTTGCTTGTGGGACCGAAGGCTTCTGAGCAGGAACAGGTGGCACTTTTGACGATCTCACAAAACGCTGAGTTGTATTGCAGAGGATGAAGTTCGGTAAGAAGTCATTTTGCATCTCTGTCCAAATCTGGAAATTTTTTATGGGTTACTACAACTTACATCAGAATTCGACCAAATTTTTAATGTAATTTGTTTTATTTTATCATTTTTGTGGTAAATAGATCAAAAGTAATCAATAGAGAAGTTGAAATGACTGATGCACAAAGAAATATAGATACTCAAAGCCTGGATGCCAAAAATAAAAGGCACAAAATAAAATAAAATGAGCCTGCATGTGAGTGGGGTAAAAGACTAGAGAACTATGTTGTCTACCTGAGAAGCAAGTCTGCTGGAATAAGAAATGAGAGATACATTCTCTTGCATCTCACTTAACATGAGAACAAAAGAATCAAGAGTCAGATCCTTCGATAGTAACTCGTGAGCAAGTTGTAAAACTTCAACGAGCTTTTCCAATTCCTGGCAAAAGTAGAAGTGCTCATTTAGAAATTGGAAATAGAGACAATATAGATATATCAGTTGACTGTAAATTACTGACCACAATAGCACATATATCCTGGGACTCAAATCTATCGAACAAAAACTCAATGTTCTCCCGGAATACTTTGTTCATCCTCTCAGTGATTAAACTTCTCAAGTTGATAGTCCTTCCCAGCAACTACACACATAGCACAAAACATTGAAAATAATAATAATAATAATTATTATTATAGAAGAAGAAGAAGAATTTGAAATATACAAGTTCTAACCTTCACTCTAGTCATCTTTAATAGTGCAGTGAATCTTATAGGTTGGATTGAAAATTTCTCACCAATGTCTAAGGCGAAAAGGAATGACGGATCCAGCAGTTCACTATGGAGTTGGAAATTAAAAGTGCCATTAAATATTTACATTTCAGTAGAAACTATAGTTAGATAGGTGTGCATATTGATATTACAAGTGAAACATTTTAGAAAAAGTACCTTGCAGCCCAACTCTTGTAGTATGTAAAAATGGCGTCGCTCAATTTTGATATAAATAAGTCAAAGCAATTGTCCACCTGGAAGAAGGGAAAATAAACCTTCTCTTTAAACGCTTGGATTTATTAAATAAAAAGGCTGAAAAGGCGGATTAAGAGGGATATATCACCTATAAATTTATCTGTACATATATGCTTGGACAAGTATATAGTAGATAACAAAAGTATCAGATAATAGCAACACTACAGGCACTTCTGCTAACGTTCTTCACAACAATAGTAGATCGAGAAGTTCGATGAAGTTACCTCAGCTTCAACTTCATCATAAAGAAATCGTTGCTTGAGGATCACAAGCGCCTGTTGTGCGGCATCATTGTAAATGTCAAAGGGCATCAAGACACTTTCAAGAAGACCCGTATTTTGAGACTCTAACACATGATCCACCAGCATCCATGGAAGGGAGCACTCAACAGGAAACTGCAGGTAAAATTACCATGTGTCTTAGTATTTAAGATAATAGTAAACAAATGAATAAAAAAAAAAATTACTCCACCATTGACAAACATTTATCAGGACCTTTCTACCTGGATAACACGAGAAGATTCCAAATAAAATTCCCTGAACCACAGAAAACCAAGATCTGTCAAGTTTGCCACTGTCACTGCAATAATAAAAACAGCCATGTCAGTTCAACAACTGACAGAGACAATTATGGACGAACATTAGAAAGCAAAAGGACAATTTAAACAGACCTGAGTAGTCTAATACATGCAAGAAAAATCCAAGCTTGTAGAAGAAGGTTTCCAGCTGTTTTAAATCATTTACAGGGATTTCAGATCCAGTATTACCAAAAAGGCCACCGGGCTTCCTCAAGTTCCCCCCTGATACCACCTCATATATCAAAAATTGCAAGCAATGGATCTGTGCAGGTAGGTTATCATGAGATGAATTAGATTGAAGCTAAGTTATTTCAAATATGCAAAAGTAGGCAATCTTAAACTAAATATTCCTTTTCAATGCTTAATAAATAAATGGGATAACATGAATGTGCCAAATAGCAGCACCTACATGAAATAATTGGAAAAAAAAAAGTTATATCTTTCCGATAACAAATATTTTCAAGAGGATGAGTACTTCAAAACAATATGCCATATACGTTTCCCAAATGAGGTGATAAAGAACACAAACCTGTGCAGCTGCGGGTGCTACAGGTCTTGGATAAAAGTAGGTCCCACGACCTTCTTCACCTCCATGTTGCATTTCAGAATCGGGCCGGCTTGTGTTTGCCATCCAGTCGGCTGAAAGTGTTCGCATATCTGAAAGAATCCTGCAATCAGCAAATGGTGAGCTGAATAATAAGTAACAGCTTCACAAGTGGCAGCAAAGTGTGAAGTGAAATGCTGTTAGTAACAATATCGTAATTGAGAAAATGAAACAAGAATACTAATTATTTTAGTTAACACGGTTGCCAAAATAAGGAAGTACAAAATGGGTAATAAAAAAAAATTAGAACAAATTGTGAAGTCGTCTTCAAGAGAAAAATAACCAGAAATAACATTTCTACCTTGAAATATCTTTTTTCTTGCGGAAGGTGCTTCGGAGCATAGTGGCCAGTATATTCTGTACAAAATCTTGGACCTCAGCATGAACGGTTTCCCACAAGGCATCTGCCACCAATGTGTCGGACTTTTGCATTAATGACCCAATACCCTTGATGTATCCTACAAGTTCTACCATTGCTTTTCTTTCCTCGGCACTATAATTATACCGTACAACCTGTAGCAGAAATAGGCAGTCTCTGTATTAGCAGAACCAAAAAAGTATGTATATTTAGAAACTTCATATTTCACTTAGAATTCTCCAAGATGATTAGCTGGTGAACCAAAGAAAATATTTGGGTTTAAACCCGAATAGAACCAACAAAGATCTGATTCGTCTTTCGGTTTATCATTCGCTAAATTTGTTTTCTCAGTTCATCAGGTCAAACTGACAGGATATTCAATTATGTTTTCTTATACTTATTCATATCTGGTATTTACAAAACATTTTGCATTTATTTCCATTTTTCATACAGTTCTGATCTTTTTTCTGCTTAAGAAAAAGAAATTCAAAAATATACAGTATTTATCAACTGAAACTCTATGGTTTTGATTTCTTGTTAATTTTTATAGAAAAATCATTAATCAAAAGACGGGAAAAAAGACCTTCTCATAATCAGATAAAGACGCTATTGGACGTGAGTCGGCTGAAATCGGATCCTTGCATGGTCGTGAAAATTTCCATGCACACTGCTCCCAAATACGTGCAGTCCATCTACTTAGGAGCTGAAAGCCTTCAACAACCATATCATAGACAATTCCTTTAACTTCCTTCGCCCACTCCACATCTGCACCATCCATTGATCTCATTAATGCAAGCTGCAATCAAGGATAATATGGCATATACAATCAGAAGATTAGCAAAACAAACCCATATTGCATGTTACCAACTTTTGATAGAGAAGATAACACAGTAGCGTGATAACCTATCTATTTAAAGAGTGTGTGTGTGTGTGTGTGAGAGAGAGAGAGAGAGTCTGGGGGNCTGATTCATGGCAGACGCAAAGCGAATGGTGAAATCATCATGTTCAGCACGAATTGCCCCAATATGGTTGATGATCAGATAATGGCGATGATAAGTAAAGAAAAGGTCAAGGAAACAAATGTTTTGTATTCCTAAGTTGGAAGTTTCTTTCTCCAAATCAGATTAGAGAGTAAATCTACTCAATATCTTTGCAGATGTTTTCAACCTGTTCATTTCATTTGTGTATGGAGAGACACCAACATAAAAAATATCCAGACATGTAGGAAAAGAAAACATTCTGTATAAACATATCAAAACTTCAAGGATATTCTTGTGCCTCGCGAGGTGGAAGCTCATGAGGTGAAGGAATAGCAAGAAGACGAGTCTGAGCGGAAAATTTAGGGAAGTACATCGATAACTCTTTCAATATTGCAGCAGGAGAAAGGTGAAGATCTGGAAACGCAGGGATAACTGGATCGTTCTACATGGGAAAAAAAAACTAATTCAAGATTTTTTTATTAAAATACAAATGAAATAATTTTTTTTTTAAAATGCAGAACCAAAAGACATATTAAAAGAGCGTACCTTAAATATATTGATCAGTCGGTTGATTTTCACTCTCTTGTACAGGGACTCACTATCTTTTTCAGATGACGCTGCCAAGACAACAAGAACAGGCAAGACACGAAGAAGAATGTGGCGCTCTGGATAGAGAAGGGCGAAATTCAACTCCAGGGATTCAACAGCAAAAACTATAAGAACTTGAAGTATGTCATCAACACTAATGGTAGCAAATTAAGGAATACAAACACGAGTTCTATGCAGAGTCAATCAACAAGCAAAAACATTTCATGAGAACAGAATGAAATATCGTCATAATAATGCAATAGACAAATACATCAAGTCATCCTGGTGGATTAATTTTTTAATTATTAGAATTTAGAAACACATGTATATCTACAATTACCTTTTCTTCATTTTGTGAATGGCTAAATAATAATAAAGCAATTAATATGTTGTGCTATTTACTACAAGGAAAGAGAAACCTTGCAGTGAATTCCGAAATACTTATTGAATTCAGGTTATAATAAAGCTGACATAGAGGATACTTGTTGACACGGAACATTTCGACGTGCAAATTCAATAAAATTGCCCACCTCGTGCTCAGAAAGATCTGCCAAGAAAACATAATACGCACGGCCTCAAATAATAAAGAAAAAGAGTTCATCATTTAAAATTCACTAGCACAAAACTGCGTTTGACAGATAATGTTTAAGAATGATGGATAAAAATCTTGACCTGTAAATCGTCAAGCTCCTCCCTCATTGTATCAGTATCTTGCCACTGCACGCTGACTTGTGTGAATGTCCTGTATCATCAGATATTAATACTTGCGTCATTTATATGTAAGCCAATGCAAAGAAGTGTCGGAAATGATTCTCTTGTTAAAATAGGTAATACCTGAAGCTATACAACTAAAAAGCTATACAAGTTTCTAAAGAGAATGTATCAGTATCACTCCTACCACTGCCTTATTACTTGCCATGCTTTGCTAATTGCAATGATAAACAAAGTTCTAAAATCTCCATGAACGAAAAATACATTTGAACTTGCAATAGAATCAAATTGCAATTTTTTTTAAAAAAAAAATAAAAAAAATTAGCATGGCACAAATATCTAAGTCATAAGTAGAGTTCCGTAGCAAGAGAACATTGATCCTTACTGGTGGTATAATGAATACAATACTTCCCCTAAATTGAAAAAGAAAATCAGAAAAACAGCACAGCAATGTAAAATTACTATTTTCTGATTAAGAATTCCACGAGTACCTCTTGTACCACGAAAAATCATTAGGAATGCTAGCCTTTGCATTTTTGAGATGGTCAAGTTGGACCAACACGTCTAGTAACTTCAGCATGGACCTGCAATGAAGTAAACAGTAGACAAAAGATATTTTTGGTAAACACCTATTTTTCCATATATCAAGAGATTCAACAGTAATAATCTCAAGTGTGTTCTATCAGGAATCTAAAATACAACCAGTCTCTTTTACACTCAAATCTACATGATAAGCTTAGGATTAACCATAGATAAACTATGCGAATATTAACCTTCTAGCACAAATCGCACATCTACTTTAGTACAAGCAAATCAATAATTGAAACACCAAAAGAGGGGGAAAAAAGATATGTTGAACAGACCAGAGATGTGTTATAGTAGGACCGTTGATGCGTCTCTCTGGCCTTGAAAACCGTTGCATGTCGGCTGCTAGCTGTATCAAGTTAATCATTTTCATGCTCCGGACAAAATAAAAGGCAAAAATATAGTAGAAAAAGTGGGGGATGAAAATTCATACTTTTGATGCGGCTGATACTTGCCAACGCTGGATTTCACGCAAACGGCTCATCTCCAGGTCTAAAACTTGGTAAGTTTCCAGGTACAAATCAGCCTGACTATGTTTCATAGAATCTGGAAGCTGCAATGGATATGCATATCTTACTATGTCGTTTGTGTTAAAAGATTTAAAAAATCAAGGACATGTGGCGTTCTATTCTATATTATCACTTAAAGTGTCAGCTCGATGTGTATAAAATCATAAAAACAAAAAATGATAGCTAAAATGGAACAGAAACATTCAATCCACCTGAGGAAGTGCTTTTACACAACTTCGATATGTATAGAGCACCGAACCCATTTCCTTCCCCTCTCGTATAAGCAAATTCTGTACCAATTTTGAGTATTTTACATCATCAGAACTATACAGAATGGCAATAAGGGACGAGTCAAGTGGTAGTTATTAAAACCAGTTAGAATCTGAGAATTTCCATAACCACAGACGAAACACACAAACTCGAAATCAAGGAAAGCAGAACCGCACCAAGACTGTTCAAAGAGTGACAAAGAGAAAGTTCATTTTACCAGCTGATTTATTGCTTTGGTGTCCTCCGACAAAGATAATCGATAGGCAGAAACATCGCTGTACTCTGCAAGTAAAAGATAAATGAATTGCATAAATATAATTCAAGCTAAACAGTAAAAAGTCATATTTCCTCCACATTGTGCATGAACAACCAAATTTCAGAATCCTTATCATTTTATGTAATTTCATGAACCACATTTCTTCTGTAAAATTAAGTAAATGCAACAGTCAGTGTTAAGCTCACAGCTCAATAAAGTAAACATACCTAA